CAATGACTACGCTATCGAGATCCTCTCCAATCGTGTTCCGTACAAAGCTGCTCTTCAGCTGTGCCCGGGGTAAATTAACGCTGCCGTATGGATTCTTGAGATTTTTATCCGTCATGGTGCTGAAGGAGGCGTCCTACGTCAGTGTTTCAAATTTCTCACAGAATACCGCCTGAAATGAGAAAAAAAAAAAAAATTAAATTAAAATGTAACAATAAATCAAAAGTCTCCAAATAAAATCAGTGCCCGCTGACCACATGACATTCTCTCTAGATCGGAATTTGTCAATTTTAACCCGACTCTGTAACCATTGCATCATGCACTGGCGAAACAGACTTATTTATTACTGGCATTTATAAAGCGCCAACATATTCCGCAACGCTTGGTATGAAAACGTGTTTGACACCTCCCAGCACCGGCTGTGGGGGTGGGAATGAGAATGGCACCACAAGCTGGAATCACAAAGGGTCCCCCTTCTCAAACCCCAATTATAAGAAGTGACTCAGAGCTCCAATAACACGTAATCTTTGCACTACAGGTAGTGATTAAGCCCAGTGTTGGGAAGTCACCAAGAAAATATTGACTTTTTTGTGTTAAGCACACATTAGTCAGAGGAAAGTGTCAGCCCTCCCCGCAATTAATCTCCCAGAATATCCCCGCCCGTCTTCCACCAAAAATGTCATCCGTTATTCTGTAAAAACTGTGAAAAGTTCTCCAAATCTATCCACAGAATTGCCATAAATTGAAACAAAATAACACAATTTAGTATAAATATTCAAAAAAAAAAAAAATGCGGTGTTAGAAAAACTGAATTGTGGAATGTTTTCATCCGGGCTGTTTTGTTCTACATTTTGCCATTTGTTAATTGACTACAATTCACTGTTGGTTTGTAAATTTACCATTTATTAGATCTCTCCCCAACACAGAGACTGTGTGAATTTCATTTGGATGGCTGCGCCCTCTGTGTGCGCCCCCATTTTATTCTTAATAACCATGGCGGCCTTTATTTCCCCTCGGTGACTTTAAACTATTCACATGTACATTTCCTGATAGCAGACCCCTCCTGGACATAGCACAGCCCCACTGAGAAAGCTAGGAAATCTATTCTGAAAGTTCAGAGTGGTGGATACATGGTGCAGCATGCCAGCAGAGGTGGCCTTGCCCAGTAAAGCAGGGCATGGGGTAAAATACAGTCCTGGGATAACATAAAAACACGATGAAGGGATTCTTATAGAGGAACCCGCAGTATCTCAGGATCCACCATGTACCTGACAGCTTCTAGTAATGTGACTCCTGTTGATCTAAGAATATAAGGTGTCCGATACCCGCTGGGAGAATATAGACACCGCCAGGGCTTATTTACTAAATCAAGACACGTGGAACAACGACAAGGGTTTAATCTGTGGAGTTGGGCAATATATTTTGTATATTTCCAGTTTAGTGGATATAACAATAATAGACAGAATATGGCATAATGCACTGGTGAGGTTAAATAAATTAATAATTCCACTAAAATGTTTGAACATTCTATAAGGAATAAAATATTCTATTTAAATATAAATTAAGTCAGTATGTCATAACTCCCAAGTGTCCCCATTTAGGAGGGACAGTCTCTATTTTGGGCCCAAATCCCTCTGTCCCTCTCTTCTATCCTAATGTCCCTGTTTTCCAGTAGCTCCATATTGTTGGTGTGTCTAAGTGTATAACAGAGCTCCCCAGCAATAATACTCCCAGTAATGTGTCTGAGTGTATCACAGAGCTCCACAGCAATAATACTCCCAGTAATGTGTCTGAGTGTATAACAGAGCTCCACAGCAATAATACTCCCAGTAATGTCTGAGTGTATAACAGAGCTCCACAGCAATAATACTCCCAGTAATGTGTCTGAGTGTATAACAGAGCTCCACAGCAATAATACTCCCAGTAATGTGTCTGAGTGTATAACAGAGCTCCACAGCAATAATACTCCCAGTAATGTGTCTGAGTGTATAACAGAGCCCACAGCAATAATACTCCTAGTAATGTGTCTGAGTGTATAACAGAGCTCCACAGCAATAATACTCCCAGTAATGTGTCTGAGTGTATAACAGAGCTCCACAGCAATAATACTCCCAGTAATGTGTCTGAGTGTATAACAGAGCCCCACAGCAATAATACTCCCAGTAATGTGTCTGAGTGTATAACAGAGCTCCACAGCAATAATATTCCCAGTAATGTGTCTGAGTGTATAACAGAGCCCCACAGCAATAATACTCCCAGTAATGTGTCTGAGTGTATAACGTAGCTCCACAGTAATAATACTCCCAGTAATGTGTCTGAGTGTATAACAAAGCTCCACGGCAATAATACTCCCAGTAATGTGTCTGAGTGTATAACAGAGCCCCACAGCAATAATACTCCCAGTAATGTGTCTGAGTGTATAACAGAGCCCCGTAGCAATAATACTCCCAGTAATGTCTTTAAACAATAAATGTGTTTAGAAATCAGTCTGTTAAAAAAATAAAAGTGTTCTTCTAAATGACATTTTTAGTTGTATAAATTGTTATTAGTAAGTTACCTAAAATTACACAGAACAGCCCCGCCTCTGGCTACACACTTCCTAAAATTAAAGGGTCCCTCTCTGTCCGTGTGAAATGTCTGGTGGTCTGGCAGTGTCCCATCTCAGTGCAGTCAGTATCAGCCCTAATATAAAATCTATATAGATTACACTCTGCATTAGTGATGTTTAGGGCCCAATAAATATGACAATACAGAACCTCTTCCTGTTAGAGAGATTAACGTTTCTCAAACACAGCAACAACATTCCCCAAATTACTTAAACTCGAAAATAGCTCAGACCATAAACACAACACGTCTAAGTCCAAGCATGATTACCGAACACGCACAGAGCAACGTTAAATAAATGCTTCCTTGCACAATACATCTCTTCCGGTGTGGGTACTGTAACAGTGCCTGTGGATTGCAAGCTCTTCAGTCAAGCTGGGGAAATAGTCAGTATCATGTCAGGCACAGTTATTCGGTAAACTCCTCATTGCGATGTAAAGCCAAGTCATCCAAGCTGGGACTACAGCAGAGTTAGATCATTTTCTACGTTTGTCTAAAATTTCACAACATAGGTTTCAATGTGTTATAGTTTGGGATTTTGTGAATACATCCTTAAACTAGGAATTGAATGGAGTTTAGAATTTAAGAAGAATGTAGTCCTAGTGAGCTATGTTTCTATACATTTGGCTATTACTGCAGAACATTCTAAATTCCCATTTTAGTATAACAATGTCACTGTCCTGGAACGTGTTAAGATCAGTTTGACGTAGATTACCAACCTTCAATGTTTCTGTTCCTCAATCCTCTACCGGTGACAGTAACACGGTTATTCACAAAAGTGAGAATTCAAAGTGAATTTCACATTTAGGAATTGAGTCGTCAAACTGGCTCTCAGAAATTCTCCAGGTTTGGCTATTTTGACCTTAATTTTGAAATTCACTTTTGAATTTTCATTTTAGTCAATTCTGCTTTAAAGGGAGTTTGGGCCCAGAGAATGAAACCCAAATCTAGATAATGTAGCAGGATCCTTTGCCACCCTTTAGCAGCCTGGCACCTGTCCATGGTTGTAATAATTAGGGGTTTGCTGTGAATAGCACAGTCAGAATTTCACTTAGTAGTTTAATTTGGTCTTTAGATACACAGAGAGAAATCTACAGGGACATAAAGAGGCAAAATAACAGAGCGTGGCTTTAAAAGTCAGATGGTCCCTTCAGGGGCCGCATGTCAATCTAGAACTGATGTCATGTTTAATAGAAACCCTGGAGACATAGGGTACCCACCATGAGCCAGCTGGAGCCTGTATTAAACATGCATTAAAGATGTCAGTCTCGGCCCTCCAGCGCAAATTATGGTTAGGCAATTTAAGATAATATTAGATTACATAAAGAGTTATTCAATAAACTGCAAATCGGTGTGAGCAAAAACCCTGCAAATTTCAAGTCAAAATGTAAAAAAACAAAAAACAAACCCACAACCCACTAACACCTCTGCTACTGGCCTAAAAGTTTGAATGTTTTTGTCACACAGCAAGTTCCGCTTGCTGTGAGCTCCAAGGGGTTAATTGCTTTACAGCCAGCGACAGGTTTCTATCGCCATGGAATGGATCAGGGTACAACATACGCCTCTTTGCCTGGCCAAAGGGCATTGTACAATACTGCGTCTATCGCTGGATTTGTAGTCTTCCCCCCCCCCCCCTTTTTTTTTTTTTTATATATATATATTAGGGACTTTTTCCTTCTAAAAACAAATAAAGCCATTAACAAGTTACTATAATATATTGTAATATAATGTAATATACTAAGCAGCTCCCTAACCCACATACTTTCAATGTACCCCCTTAGTGGGCCGCTCCCCAATAACCGTTAGAGATTTATTCTGGACAAGATATTAAAAAATAAATGGCAGATAGTTAAAGCATGGTCT